GCTCTGCTGCTATAAAACTGACAGGAATTTAATATCTGGAGACTGTCAGCTGAGCTCCAGGTGCTGGTGCTTTCTAGATGTCGATGATGCAGAAGGAAGCAGAAGTGGCGCATGGCACACAAGGACAAAGCTGGCAAAGGTCCCTTTGCACTGAAGTCTGACCCTGCAGGGTGCTGGGTGCCCTGGAACCCAGGCAGCAAGGCTTGCTGAGCTCCTYCACATCTCCCAGGAGCCACCCCCCAGCTGCATTTGAGCACACTCAGAAAGGAGCTGKTGCACTGCAAACACTACTACAAGTCAAGTAGAACAGGTCACTTTTTTTAATAAAGGAAACTTTTCCTCTGTAGCTTTTCTCCTGCAGTCAAGCCCGTGACAAACTTGCTTTCCCTTCAGAGGCTGTCAGCTGTGCCTCAGCCATTCATCAGAGAGAGCAAGCTAGCATGCAGGAGGGAATGAAGGGAAATAAAATCCCAAACCCAACAAAAACTATCTTCCTGACCTTCCTGCATACACTGAGCAGTGGAGTCCAGMCCCCTGAAAACCCCTCCCTGCTGCAGGGCTCCGCTACACAGCCACTGTGATCTGATACAGGCTCAGGAAACGAGATAGCCAAGGAATTGTCACCCACCTACTCATCTCTGCTCCCTCATTAGCATCCCCAGGGCCATGCAGCCACAGCCTGGCACAGGACACAGGAGCCAGCACACCAGCAAAGCATCACCGCAGAGCCAGCTACAAGTACTCCTCACAATTAATTTGGGATTTTGCTTGTAATTAATCCTGCGTATCAGTTCCCCTCATTATTCCTTAATGTAATTAAGTTATTAGTTTATATGTCCCRTCCCCACCCCCCAAAGCAGAACAGTGGGATGGATCAGAGGGAGGTAGGGGAGATGCCAGGCAGGAGCATGGGGCCATGAGCCTGGATTACTGGGGCACATGCCAAGCCCCACCACTGCCTCCCTGGGTGACCTCAGGTGGGGCACTGGCAGCCTGGTTTTCCCAAGAGGAGAAAACKATACCAATTCCTCTGGAGTCCATGAGAGACAGAAGAAYACMAAGTTCAATTAGCCTCTCCGGTCCMGAWTTATCCAGTTGGAAAACTGCCGGGACAAGGAGACAGGCTGGAACTAATTAAAGCTTCAAAGAGTTTTGAAACCTTCCGCCAAAAGCCAGGGAAGGCACRAGTCCCAGCTGATCCACCACCCCAGCCAGTCCCGTGTCCTTGCACTCCCATCCATCAGGCTTCCCTGCAGGCTGAAAACATGGCTGCTAACCAGACACCCAGCCGGGTAAAGCTCCCGGGCAGGGCAGGCACCCAGCCAGGTAAAGCTCCATGGCAGGGACAAGCACCCAGCAGGGTAAAGCTCCATGGCAGGACAGGCACCCAGCCGGGTAAAGCTCCATGGCAGGG